GTGTGTGGTGGTGTGTGTAGTGGTGTGTGTGTGGTGGGTGTGGTTGTGTGGGTGTGGTGGGTGTGGTTGTGTGTGTGTGGTGTGGTGGTGTGGTGGTGTGTGTGGTGTGTGTGGTGGGTGGTGTGTGGTGTGTGTGGTGGTGGTGTGTGGTGTGTGTGGTGGTGGTGTGTGTGGTGGGTGTGGTTGTGTGTGTGGTGTGGTGGTGTGTGTGGTGTGTGTGTGGTGTGTGTGGTGTCTGTGGTGGTGTGTGTGGTGTGTGTGGTGTGTGTGGTGTGGGTGTGTGTGGTGTGTGTGTGGTGTGTGTGTGTGGTGTGTGTGTGGTGTCTGTGGTGGTGTGTGTGGTGTCTGTGGTGTGTGTGGTGTGTGTGTGTGGTGTGTGTGTGTGGTGTGTGTGTGGTGTGTGTGGTGGTGGTGTGTGTGGTGTGTGTGTGGTGGGTTGGTGTGTGTGTGGTGTGTGGTGGTGTGTGGTGGTGTGTGTGTGTGGTGTGTGGTGGTGTGTGGTGGTGTGTGTGTGTGGTGTGTGTGTGGTGGGTGGTGGTGTGTGTAGTGGTGTGTGTGTGGTGGTGTGTGTAGTGGTGTGTGTGTGGTGGGTGTGGTTGTGTGTGTGTGGTGGGTGTGGTTGTGTGTGTGTGGTGTGTGTGGTGTGGTGGTTGGTGTGGTGTGTGTGGTTGGTGGTGTGTGTGTGTGTGGTGTGTGTGGTGGTGTGTGGTGGTGTGTGTGGTGTGGTGGTGTGTGTGGTGTGTGTGGTTGTGTGTGTGGTGGTGTGTGGTGGTGTGTGGTGTGTGGTGGTGTGTGTGTGTGTGGTGTGTGTGTGGTGGGTGGTGGTGTGTGTAGTGGTGTGTGTGTGGTGGGTGTGGTTGTGTGTGTGTGGTGGGTGTGGTAGTGTGTGTGGTGGTGTGTGTGGTGTGTGTGTGGTGATGTGTGTGTGGTGTGTAGTGTGTGTGGTGGTGTGTGTGTGTGTGTGGGGTGTGGTGGTCTGTGTGTGTGTGGTGGTCTGTGTGTGTGTGGTGGTGTGGTCTGTGGTGTTGTGTGTGGTGTGTGTGTGGTGTGTGTGGGGTGTGTGTGGGGTGTGTGTGTGTGTGGTGTGTGTGGGGTGTGTGTGGGGTGTGTGTGTGTGTGGTGTGTGTGGTGTGTGGTGTGTGGTGTATGTGTGTGGTGGTGTGTGTGGTGTGTGTGGTTGTGTGTGTGGTGGTGTGTGTGGTGTGTGTGTGGTGTGTGGTGGTGTGTGCTGTGTGTGGTGTGTGGTGGGTGTGTGTGGTGTTGTGGGGGTGTGTGGTGGGGGTGGTGTGGGGGTGGTGTGTGGGGGTGTTGTGTGTGTGGTGGGTGGTGGTGTGTGTAGTGGTGTGTGTGTGGTGGTGTGTGTAGTGGTGTGTGTGTGGTGGGTGTGGTTGTGTGTGTGTGGTGGGTGTGGTTGTGTGTGTGTGGTGTGGTGGTGTGGTGGTGTGTGTGGTGTGTGTGTGGTGTGTGGTGTATGTGTGTGGTGGTGTGTGTGGTGTGTGTGGTGGTGTGTGGTGTGTGTGGTTGTGTGTGTGGTGGTGTGTGTGGTGTGTGTGTGGTGTGTGGTGGTGTGGTTGTGTGTGTGGTGTGTGTGGGTGTTGTGGTGGGGTGGTTGTGTGTGTGGTGTGTGTGTGGTGGTGTGTGGTGTGTGTGTGGTGGTGTGTGGTGGTGTGTGTGTGTGTTGTGGTGTGTGTTGTGGTGCGTGTTGTGGTGTGTGTGGGTGGTGTTGGTGGTGTGTGGTGGTGTATGTGTGGTGGGTGTGTGGTGTGTGTGGTGGTGTATGTGTGGTGGGTGTGTGGTGTGTGTGGTGGTGTGTGTGTGTGTAGTGTGTGGGGTGTGTGTGGGGTGTGTGTGTGTGTGGTGTGTGTGGGGTGTGTGTGGGGTGTGTGTGTGTGTGGTGTGTGTGGTGTGTGGTGTGTGGTGTATGTGTGTGGTGGTGTGTGTGGTGTGTGTGGTGTGTGTGGTTGTGTGTGTGGTGGTGTGTGTGGTGTGTGTGTGGTGTGTGGTGGTGTGTGCTGTGTGTGGTGTGTGGTGGTGTGTGTGTGGTGTGTGGTGGTGTGTGGTGTGTGGTGGTGTGTGTGTGTGTGGTGTGTGTGTGGTGGGTGGTGGTGTGTGTAGTGGTGTGTGTGTGGTGGTGTGTGTAGTGGTGTGTGTGTGGTGGGTGTGGTTGTGTGTGTGTGGTGGGTGTGGTTGTGTGTGTGTGGTGTGGTGGTGTGGTGGTGTGTGTGGTGTGTGTGTGGTGTGTGGTGTATGTGTGTGGTGGTGTGTGTGGTGTGTGTGGTGGTGTGTGGTGTGTGTGGTTGTGTGTGTGGTGGTGTGTGTGGTGTGTGTGTGGTGTGTGGTGGTGTGGGTGTGTGTGTGGTGTGTGGTGGTGTGGTTGTGTGTGTGGTGTGTGTGTGGTGGTGTGTGGTGTGTGTGTGGTGCTGTGTGGTGGTGTGTGTGTGTGTTGTGGTGTGTGTTGTGGTGCGTGTTGTGGTGTGTGTGGGTGGTGTTGGTGGTGTGTGGTGGTGTATGTGTGGTGGGTGTGTGTGGTGGTGTATGTGTGGTGGGTGTGTGGTGTGTGTGGTGGTGTGTGTGTGTGTAGTGTGTGGTGGTGGGTGTGTGTGGAGTGTGTGTGTGTGGTGTGTGTGGTGTGTGCGTGGTGGTGTGCGCGTGGTGGTGTATGGTGTGTGTGTGTGTAGTGTGTGTGGTGTGTGTGTGGTGTGTGGTGGTGTGGTTGTGTGTGTGGTGTGTGTGTGGTGGTGTGTGGTGTGTGTGTGGTGGTGTGTGTGTGTTGTGGTGTGTGTTGTGGTGCGTGTTGTGGTGTGTGTGGGTGGTGTGTGTGGGTGGTGTTGGTGGTGTGTGGTGGTGGGTGTGTGGTGTGTGTGGTGTGTGGTGGTGTGTATGTGTGTAGTGTGTGGTGGTGGGTGTGTGTGGTGTGTGTGTGTGGTGGTGTGTGTGTGTGTGTGGTGGTGGTATGTGTGGTGTGTGTGTGTGGTGGTGGTGGTGTGTGTGGTGTGTTGTGTGTGGTGTGTGTGTGTGTGTGTGGGCGGTCCTGCACAGATGCCATAATTTCTGTCCGTATGCTTCAGCAGAGGTGTAGGGAATTGCAGCAAGACCTACATCTCTGCTTTATTGACCTGGTCAAGGCCTATGATACCATCAGTAGGCCTGAGCTCTGGGTTGTTCTTCGTGCTTTTGGAGTCGCTGACCCTCTGCTCACGATCATTAAGGACCTTCCTGATGGTGAGCGGGCCCGGGTAAAACTACGTGGCCGGGAGTCAGAGCCATTCCCTGTACACCTTGGGTGCGACAGGGATGTCCTCTGGCTCCCACATTATTTAACATCTATTTTGACTACGTAGTTCGTGAAGCCTTCAATAGCTGTACCGGGGGAATCTCCATTTCGTACAGATATAATGGGAGGCTGATCGATGCCCGGGTGCAGTCAAGGGATGGCTCCCTATTACTCAACCACGTTATGCATGCCGATGATTTGGTAATAGCTGCTCATTCAGATGAGGAGTTGGAGACACTGCTGCTGAGACTGGAGCGTGCCACTAAGAGATGGGGCCTTACCATCAGCCCCACCAAAACTAAGCACCTGCCTGGGTATTTTGTACCATCGGACACTCCACCCCCACAACTCCCAATCGGTAATGGTGCAGTTGTGGAGAGAGTGGAGAGTTTTCCATACCTGGGCAGTGTGCTTATGATCGGCTCCAGTTTAACAGCAGATGTCTCACTCCGAATCAGTCGAGCGGCAATATCTTTTCATCGGTTGCGTAACGCTGTGTGGAAGCTACCTGGTCTGTCGCTCTGCACTAAGCTTCAGGTCTTCTCGGCCATGGTCATTCCCTCCCTTCTCTACGCTTGCGAAAAGTGGACCCCCCTAATGGAACATCTTCGCCGGTTAGAAACATTTAGGCTAGCCTGCCTACGATCCATCCTGGATTTAACCAGGCTGGATTGTGTGAGGAGCTCACAAATCCTTGAAAGATCTGGGCAAGGTCCCATCGATGAGCTCCTCCGGCAGGCAAGGCTGCGTTGGCTGGGTCATGTAGCCGCATGCCCAGCCACCGCATGCCGAAACAGCTTTTGTTCGGCTGGATCGAGGGGGCTAAACGGGCGTGGCACGGGGCTAGAGAGGAGATGGAGTGATGTGGTACAGGAGGACGTGGAGCTGAGTGGACTTGCCGATGACCGGTACCAGCGGTGTCAAGATCGGCCTCTGTGGAGGAGGCTCGTGAAGGACGCTGCTACTGGGCAGTTGGAGGCAGTCGCCCTCCAACAACAACGGAGGGCGGAGGAGCGACGCTCACAACAACGAGCGGAGCGCCGGGTGGCTAAAGCACAGCAGGTTGGCACAGTAGGGGGCACAGGTGGTGCACCAGCCAGTCATCTCAGTCAGTCGACCCGTGGCACCTGCTGGGTCTGCCCCGTGACCTCCTGCCCGCGGGTGTTCGACACTTCACGTGGCCTCAAGGTGCACATGGCCTGGCACAAGCGTCGTGGTGACGTCACCGCCACTTGGTGTCGAATTGCGCTTGTTGTTGTTGTTGTACGTGTGTGTGTGTACATATGTAGGGAGCGGTGGTGCAACGCTTAGCGCAGTGCTGCGCTACGAACCCGGCGACCCCGAGTTCCATCCCCGCTCACGGTCACCAACACCACCAGAGACGATTATCTGACCCGGTGCTGGCCTCCGCCCCGCCCCCCCCCCCCCCCCCTAGGCCGACTCAGCCTCAAATGAGTTACCTGGTGTAGCGATCGTCTGTAGTGAACATCGCGACTAGGGAGAGACAAAGGCGGCCGGGCGTGGTGCTGGCAATCCACACTCATACCCACCGTTCTTGTTCCATTCCGGCCTTCATAGGTGTTGCTCGCTAACAGCACTTGCCCCGACAGTCTGATGAGGCTACACGGGGGAGCTTTGTCTGTGTGTGGGGGGGTCCACGTTTCTGAGAGCAGCACTTGCCCCAACAGTCTGATGAGGCTACACGGGGGACCTTTGTCTGTTTTAGGAGTCTACGTTCTGATTGGAGCCGGGGCTCTGATGATGCTGATTGGATTCCTGGGCTGCTGTGGGGCCATCCAGGAGTCGCAATGCATGCTGGGAACGGTGAGATGAGCTTGCAAACTGTCACGTGACCCCCTCTACCCTCTGATCCATCACCCCTCTACCCCTGATCTCATCACCCCCTCTAGCTCTGATCCATCACCCCTCTACCCCTGATCCATCACCCCTCTACCCCTGATCCCATCACCCCCTCTAGCTCTGATCCATCACCCCTCTACCCCTGATCCATCACCCCCTCTAGCCCTGATCCATCACCCGTCTACCCCTGATCCATCACCCCCTCTAGCCCTGATCCATCACCCCTCTACCCCTGATCCATCACCCCTCTACCCCGGATCCCATCACCCCCTCTAGCTCTGATCCATCACCCCTCTACCCCTGATCCATCACCCCCTCTACCCCTGATCCATCACCCGTCTACCCCTGATCCATCACCCCTCTAGCCCTGATCCATCACCCCTCTACCCCTGATCCATCACCCCTCTAGCCCTGATCCATCACCCCTCTAGCTCTGATCCATCACCCCTCTAGCCCTGACCCATCAACTCTCTAGCCCTGATCCATCACCCCCTCTACCCCTGATCCATCACCCCTCTACCCCTGATCCATCACCCCTCTAGCCCTGATCCATCACCCCTCTACCCCTGACCCATCACCCCTCTACCCTGACCCATCACCCCTCTAGCCCTGATCCATCACCCCTCTAGCCCTGATCCATAACCCCCTCTACACCTGATCCATCACCCCTCTAGCCCTGATCCATCACCCCCTCTAGCCCTGATCCATCACCCCTCTAGCCCTGATCCATCACCCCTCTAGCCCTGATCCATCACCCCCTCTACCCCTGATCCATCACCCCTCTACCCCTGATCCATCACCCCTCTAGCCCTGATCCATCACCCTGGGTGGTGTCACTGGCTGGGTGGTGTCTCTCTGGCTGGGTGGTGTCTCTGGCTGGCTGGTATCTCTCTTCTCTGCTGACCATTGTGTCGTTGTCCCCTCCTCCACCTCCCCCAGTTCTTCTTCTGTCTGCTGGTCGTCTTTGCAGCAGAGGTGGCTGCTGGCATCTACTCCATCAACAACAAAGACAAGGTGAGCCAAGTCTCCCACGCTACTAAACGTTGCTTCACTGAGCCCCTACACAGACAAAGTTAGCGAAGTCTACCATGCTATTAAACGTCACGTTACTTCACTGAGCTCCTACACAGACAAAGTCAGCAAAGTCTCCCACGCTATTAAATGTCACGTTACTTCACTGAGCCCCAACACAGACAAAGTTAGCGAAGTCTCCCACGCTATTAGACGTCACGTTACTTCACTGAGCCCCCTACGCAGACAAAGTTAGCAAAGTCTCCCACACTATTAAACGTCACGTTACTTCACTGAGCCCCTACACAGACAAAGTTAGCGAAGTCTCCCACGCTATTAGACGTCACGTTACTTCACTGAGTTCCTACACGGACAAAGTTAGCGAATTCTCCCACGCTATTAAACGTCACGTTACTTCACCGAGCCCCTACACAGACAAAGTTAGCAAAGTCTCCCACGCTATTAAACGTCACGTTACTTCACCGAGCCCCTACACAGACAAAGTTAGCAAAGTCTCCCACGCTATTAAACGTCACGTTACTTCACCGAGCCCCTACACAGACAAAGTTAGCGAAGTCTCCCACGCTACTAAACGTCACGTTACTTCACTGAGCCCCTACACAGACAAGGTTAGCGAAGTCTCCCACGCTATTAAACGTCACGTTACTTCGCTGAGCCCCTACACAGACAAAGTTAGCGAAGTCTCCCACGCTACTAAACGTCACGTTACTTCACTGAGCCCCTACACAGACAAAGTCAGCGAAGTCTCCCACGCTATTAAACGTCACGTTACTTCACTGAGCTCCTACACAGACAAAGTTAGCGAAGTCTCCCACGCTATTAAACGTCACGTTACTTCACTGAGCCCCTACACAGACAAAGTTAGCGAAGTCTCCCACGCTATTAAACGTCACGTTACTTCACTGAGCCCCTACGCAGACAAAGTTAGTGATGTCTCCCACGCTGTTAAACGTCACGTTACTTCACTGAGCTCCTACACAGACAAAGTTAGCGAAGTCTCCCACGCTATTAAACGTCACGATACTTCACTGAGCCCCTACACAGACAAAGTTAGTGATGTCTCCCACGCTATTAAACGTCACGTTACTTCACTGAGCCCCTACACAGACAAAGTTAGTGATGTCTCCCACGCTGTTAAACGTCACGTTACTTCGCCGAGCCCCTACACAGACAAAGTTAGCGAAGTCTCCCACTCTATTAAACGTCACGATACTTCACTGAGCCCCTACGCAGACAAAGTTAGCGAAGTCTCCCATGCTATTAAACGTCACGTTACTTCACTGAGCCCCTACACAGACAAAGTTAGCGAAGTCTCCCACGCTATTAAACGTCACGTTACTTCACTGAGCCCCCTACACAGACAAAGTCAGCGAAGTCTCCCTAGCTATTAAACGTCACGTTACTTCGCTGAGCCCTGACACAGACAAAGTTAGCGAAGTCTCCCACGCTATTAAACGTCACGTTACTTCGCTGAGCTCCTACACAGACAAAGTTAGCGAAGTCTCCCACGCTATTAAACGTCACGTTACTTCGCTGAGCCCCTACGCAGACAAAGTTAGTGAAGTCTCCCACGCTGTTAAACGTCACGTTACTTCGCCGAGCCCCTACACAGACAAAGTTAGCGAAGTCTCCCACGCTATTAAACGTCACGTTACTTCACTGAGCCCCTACACAGACAAAGTTAGCGAAGTCTCCCATGCTATTAAACGTCATGTTAATTCACTGAGCCCCTACACAGACAAAGTTAGCGAAGTCTCCCACGCTATTAAACGTCACGTTACTTCACTGAGCCCCTACGCAGACAAAGTTAGCGAAGTCTCCCACGCTATTAAACATCACGTTACTTCGCTGAGCCCCTACGCAGACAAAGTTAGCGAAGTCTCCCAAGCTATTAAACGTCACGTTACTTCACTGAGCCCCTACACAGACAAAGTTAGCGAAGTCTTCCACGCTATTAAACGTCACGTTACTTCACTGAGCCCTGACACAGACAAAGTTAGCGAAGTCTCCCACGCTATTAAACGTCACGTTACTTCACTGAGCCCCTACACAGACAAAGTTAGCGAAGTCTCCCACGCTATTAAACGTCACGTTACTTCACTGAGCCCCTACACAGACAAAGTTAGCGAAGTCTCCCACGCTGTTAAACGTCACGTTACTTCACTGAGCCCCCTACACAGACAAAGTTAGCGAAGTCTCCCACGCTATTAGACGTCACGTTACTTCGCTGAGCCCTGACACAGACAAAGTTAGCGAAGTCTCACACGCTATTAAACGTCACGTTACTTCACTGAGCCCCTACACAGACAAAGTTGGCGAAGTCTCCCATGCTATTAAACGTCACGTTACTTCACTGAGCTCCTACACAGACAAAGTTAGTGAAGTCTCCCACGCTACTAAACGTCACGTTACTTCACTGAGCTCCTACACAGACAAAGTCAGCGAAGTCTCCCACGCTATTAAACGTCACGTTACTTCGCTGAGCCCCTACACAGACAAAGTTAGCGAAGTCTCCCACGCTATTAAACGTCACGTTACTTCACTGAGCTCCTACACAGACAAAGTTAGCGAAGTCTCCCACACTGTTAAACGTCACGTTACTTCACTGAGCCCCTACACAGACAAAGTCAGCGAAGTCTCCCACACTATTAAATGTCACGTTACTTCACTGAGCCCCTACACAGACAAAGTTAGCGAAGTCTCCCACGCTATTAAACGTCACGTTACTTCGCTGAGCCCTGACACAGACAAAGTTAGCGAAGTCTCCCATGCTATTAAACGTCACGTTACTTCACAGAGCCCCTACACAGACAAAGTTAGCGAAGTCTCCCACGCTATTAAACTTCACGTTACTTCACTGAGCCCTGACACAGACAAAGTTAGTGAAGTCTCCCACGCTATTAAACGTCACGTTACTTCACTGAGCCCCCTACACAGACAAAGTCAGCGAAGTCTCCCATGCTAATAAACGTCACGTTACTTCACTGAGCTCCTACACAGACAAAGTTAGCGAAGTCTCCCACGCTATTAAACATCACGTTACTTCGCCGAGCCCCTACGCAGACAAAGTTAGCGAAGTCTCCCACGCTATTAAACGTCACGTTACTTCACTGAGCCCCTACACAGACAAAGTTAGTGAAGTCTCCCACGCTACTAAACGTCACGTTACTTCACTGAGCTCCTACACAGACAAAGTCAGCGAAGTCTCCCACGCTATTAAACGTCACGTTACTTCGCTGAGCCCCTACACAGACAAAGTTAGCGAAGTCTCCCACGCTATTAAACGTCACGTTACTTCACTGAGCTCCTACACAGACAAAGTTAGCGAAGTCTCCCACACTGTTAAACGTCACGTTACTTCACTGAGCCCCTACACAGACAAAGTCAGCGAAGTCTCCCACACTATTAAATGTCACGTTACTTCACTGAGCCCCTACACAGACAAAGTTAGCGAAGTCTCCCACGCTATTAAACGTCACGTTACTTCGCTGAGCCCTGACACAGACAAAGTTAGCGAAGTCTCCCATGCTATTAAACGTCACGTTACTTCACCGAGCCCCTACACAGACAAAGTTAGCGAAGTCTCCCACGCTATTAAACTTCACGTTACTTCACTGAGCCCTGACACAGACAAAGTTAGTGAAGTCTCCCACGCTATTAAACGTCACGTTACTTCACTGAGCCCCCTACACAGACAAAGTCAGCGAAGTCTCCCATGCTAATAAACGTCACGTTACTTCACTGAGCTCCTACACAGACAAAGTTAGCGAAGTCTCCCACGCTATTAAACATCACGTTACTTCGCCGAGCCCCTACGCAGACAAAGTTAGCGAAGTCTCCCATGCTATTAAACGTCACGTTACTTCGCCGAGCCCCTACGCAGACAAAGTTAGCGAAGTCTCCCACGCTATTAAACGTCACGTTACTTCACTGAGCCCCTACACAGACAAAGTTAGCGAAGTCTCCCACGCTATTAAACGTCACGTTACTTCACTGAGCTCCTACACAGACAAAGTTAGCGAAGTCTCCCACACTGTTAAACGTCACGTTACTTCACTGAGCCCCTACACAGACAAAGTCAGCGAAGTCTCCCACACTATTAAATGTCACGTTACTTCACTGAGCCCCTACACAGACAAAGTTAGCGAAGTCTCCCACGCTATTAAACGTCACGTTACTTCGCTGAGCCCTGACACAGACAAAGTTAGCGAAGTCTCCCATGCTATTAAACGTCACGTTACTTCACCGAGCCCCTACACAGACAAAGTTAGCGAAGTCTCCCACGCTATTAAACTTCACGTTACTTCACTGAGCCCTGACACAGACAAAGTTAGTGAAGTCTCCCACGCTATTAAACGTCACGTTACTTCACTGAGCCCCCTACACAGACAAAGTCAGCGAAGTCTCCCATGCTAATAAACGTCACGTTACTTCACTGAGCTCCTACACAGACAAAGTTAGCGAAGTCTCCCACGCTATTAAACATCACGTTACTTCGCCGAGCCCCTACGCAGACAAAGTTAGCGAAGTCTCCCATGCTATTAAACGTCACGTTACTTCGCCGAGCCCCTACGCAGACAAAGTTAGCGAAGTCTCCCACGCTATTAAACGTCACGTTACTTCACTGAGCCCCTACACAGACAAAGTTAGCGAAGTCTCCCACGCTATTAATCGTCACGTTACTTCGCTGAGCCCCTACACGGACACCAGGCTGAGCTGCTGCCGGTGGTCCGATCCAACCCGGTGCGAAACGCAAACGGTGAAGTCGCCGATGATGGCTCAACGTTGGGCCCAAGCACCAAATGCCGGCATTCACTTGGGAGGCCGCGGGGTTCACTGCGGCACGCCCTGATCGATCGCTCGCCCGCTCTCCACCACAGATTCCGCAGGAGTTTAAGGAATACTACAACAGCCTGTACGTGCAGTACTTGAAGGACCATTCGGACTCCATCAAGACCGCGCTAATTGCCTTCCACAAGGGGGTGAGCGCTCGCACGCACGCTCGCTCACCTGCTCACTCAATCGCTCACCCACCCACTCCACCCACTCACCCGCCCGCTCACCCTCCCACCCACTCACCCACCCACTCACCCTCCCACCCACTCACCCACTCACTCACCTACCCACCCACCCCACTCACCAACCCACCCGCTCACCCGCTCACCCACCCACTCACCCACTCACCCACCCACTCACCCTCCCACTCACTCACCTACCCACCCACCCCACTCACCAACTCACTCACCCACTCACTCACCCACTCACTCACCCGCTCACCCACCCGCTCACCCATCCACTTACCCACTCACTCACCCACCCACTCACTCACCTACCCACCCACCCCACTCACCAACCCACCCACTCACCCGCTCAATCACTCACCCACCCACTCCACCCACTCACCCGCCCGATCACACTCCCACCCACTCACCCACCCACTCACCCTCCCACCCACTCACCCACTCACTCACCTACCCACCCACCCCACTCACCAACCCACCCACTCACCCGCTCACCCGGTCACCTGCTCACCCACCCACTCACCCACTCACTCACCCACTTACCCACCCACTCACTCGCCTACCCACCCACCCCACTCACCAACTCACTCACCCACTCACTCACCCACTCACCCACTCACTCACCCGCTCACTCATCCACCCACTCACTCACCTAGCCACCCACCCCACTCACCAACTCACTCACCCACCCACCCTCCCACCCACCCACTCACCCACCCACTCACTCACATACCCACCCACCCCACTCATAAACTCACCCACTCACTCACCCACCCAGTCACTCACCCACTCACCCACTCACCCACCCACCCCACTCACCAACTCACTCACCCACTCACCCCTCCACCCACTCACCCACCCATTCACTCACTCACCTACCCACCCACCCCACTCACCAACTCACCCACCCACTCACCCACCCACTCACCCACCCACCAACCCTCCCACCCACCCACTCACCCTCCCACCTACCCACTCATTCACCCGCTCACCGCCCGTGTGTATCTCCCTCTCTCTCTCTCTCTGCGCAGCTCAACTGCTGTGGTGCAGGCAAACTGTCCAGTGCCTTCTCAACGCTGGACCCCGGCCTCTGCCCCAACGCCAAGAACTTCTTGGAAGCGGTGGTCAACCCGGACATGGTGAGTCGGAGTGGTTGTGGCCGAGGAGAGTCGGTGGAGCGGGGTGGGTGAGTCTGTGGGTGAGTGTGTGAGTGAGTGTGTGAGTGAGTGTGTGAGTGAGTCTGTGGGTGAGTGAGTCTGTGGGTGAGTGAGTGTGTGGGTGAGTGTGTGAGTGAGTGTGTGAGTGAGTGTGTGAGTGAGTGTGTGAGTGAGTGTGTGAGTGTATCTGTGGGTGCGTGAGTGTGTGAGTGAGTGTGTGAGTGAGTCTGTGGGTGAGTCTGTGGGTGAGTGTGTGAGTGAGTCTGTTGGTGAGTGTGCGGGTGAGTCTGTGGGTGAGTGTGCGGGTGAGTATGTGGGTGAGTCTGTGAGTCTGTGGGTGAGTGAGTCTGTGGGTGAGTGAGTCTGTGGGTGAGTGTGTGAGTGAGTCTGTGGGTGAGTCGGTGGGTGAGTGAGTGGGTGAGTCTGTGGAGGAGTGAGTCTGTGGGTGAGTGTGTGAGTGAGTCTGTGGGTGAGTGAGTATGTGGGTGAGTGTGTGAGTGAGTCTGTGGGTGAGTCTGTGGGTGAGTGTGTGAGTGAGTCTGTGGGTGAGTCTGTGGGTGAGTGTGTGAGTGAGTCTGTGGGTGAGTCTGTGGGTGAGTGTGTGAGTGAGTCTGTGGGTGGGTGAGTCTGTGGGTGAGTCTGTGTGTGAGTGAGTGTGTGAGTGTGTGAGTGAGTGTGTGTGTGAGGGTGTGTGTGAGTGTGTGTATGAGTGTGTGTGAGTGAGTCAGTCTGTGTGTGAGTCTCTGTGTGAGTGTGTGAGTGTGTAAGTCTGTGTGTGAGTGTGTGAGTCTGTGTGTGAGTGAGTGTGTGAGTCTGTGTATGAGTGTGTGTGTGAGTGTGTGTGAGTCTCTGTGTGAGTCTCTGTGTGAGTGTGTGGGTGTGTAAGTCTGTGTGTGAGTCTCTGTGTGTTTGACTCCCCCTGTGCTTGCAGGACTGTAACAGCCGCATCGACGACATCTTCTCCCAGAGGGTCTACATCATCGCCGCTGTCGGCATCGGCGTCGGCGTTGTGATGGTGCGGTTACATCAGCACCATCGTCATCATCGTCAATTTCGCTATTCTCGTCATCGTTATCATCAACATCGTCATCATTATCAACATCGTCATCATCATCATCGTCGTCATCATCGTCATCATCTTCACCATCGTCATCATCGTCATCATCAGTATCGTCATCATCATCGTCGTCATAGTCATCATCGGCGTCGTCATCGTCGTCATCGTCATCATTGTCGTCAGCATCGTCATCAACATCGTCAGCATCGTCATCATCGTCAATTTCGTCATCGTCGTCGTCATTGTCGTCATCGTCGTCATCGTCGTCAGCATCGTCATCATCATCGTCAGCATCGTCATCATCGTCAATTTCGTCATTGTCGTCATCATCATCATCGTCATTGTCGTCATCATCGTCATCATCGTCATCGTCGTCATCATCGTCGTCGTCATCGTCATCATCGGCGTCGTCATCATCGTCATCATCATCGTCATTGTCGTCAGCATCGCCATCATCATCGTCAGCATCGTCATCATCGTCAATTTCGTCATTGTCGTCATCGTCATCATCGTCGTCATCGTCATCATCGTCATCATCATCATCATCATCGTCATCATCATCATCATCGTCGTCATCATCATTGTCGTCGTCATCGTCAGCATGGCGAGCATCACTGACGCCGCTGGTGGTCCGCCCCGCAGGTCTTCGGCATGGTGTTCAGCATGCTGCTTTGCTGCGCCATCCGCCAGAGCCGAGCCTACATCTAGGCCTGGAGTCGCGGAGACACGCCGGGGACACCAGCGTGTCTAGGTGACTACAGCCCTACCACCACCTACCACCACCTACACCCCTACCACCACCTACCACCACCTACCACCACCTACACCCCTACCACCACCTACCACCACCTACACCCCTACCATCACCTACACCCCTACCACCACCTACCACCACCTACACCCCTACCACCTACACCCCTACCACCTACACCCCTACCACCACCTACCACCACCTACACCCCTACCACCACCTACCACCACCTACACCCCCTACCACCACCTACCACCACCTACACCCCTACCATCACCTAACATCACCTACACCCCTACCACCTAACACCACCTACACCCCTACCACCACCTACCACCACCTACACCCCTACCACCACCTACCACCACCTACACCCCTACCATCACCTACACCCCTACCACCACCTACCACCACCTACCACCACCTACCCCCCTACCACCACCTACCACCACCTACACCCCTACCACCTACCACCACCTACACCCCTACCACCACCTACCACCACCTACACCCCTACCACCACCTACACCCCCTACCACCTACACCCCTACCACCAACTACCACCACCTACACCCCTACCACCTACCACCACCTACACCCCTACCACCACCTACCACCACCTACACCCCTACCACCACCTACCACCACCTACACCCCTACCATCACCTACACCCCTACCACCACCTACCACCACCTACCACCACCTACCACCACCTACACCCCTACCACCTACCACCACCTACACCCCTACCACCACCTACCACCACCAACACCCCCACCACCACCTACACCCCCTACCACCTACACCCCTACCATCAACTACCACCACCTACACCCCTACCACCTACCACCACCTACCCCCCTACCACCACCTACCACCACCGACACCCCAACCCCCACCTACCCCCCCAACCACCTACACCCCTACCATCAACTACCACCACCTACACCCCTACCACCTACCACCACCTACACCCCTACCACCACCTACCACCACCTACACCCCTACCACCACCTACCACCACCTACACCCCTACCATCACCTACACCCCTACCACCACCTACCACCACCTACCACCACCTACCACCACCTACACCCCTACCACCTACCACCACCTACACCCCTACCACCACCTACCACCACCTACACCCCTACCACCACCTACACCCCCTACCACCTACACCCCTACCATCAACTACCACCACCTACACCCCTACCACCTACCACCACCTACACCCCTACCACCACCTACCACCACCTACACCCCTACCACCACCTACACCCCCTACCACCTACACCCCTACCATCAACTACCATCACCTACACCCCTACCACCACCTACCACCTACACCCCTACCACCACCTACCACCACCTACACCCCTACCACCACCTACCACCACCTACACCCCTACCACCACCTACCACCTACACCCCTACCACCACCTACACCCCCTACCACCTACACCCCTACCATCAACTACCATCACCTACACCCCTACCACCACCTACCACCAACTACACCCCTACCACCACCTACACCCCCTACCACCTACACCCCTACCATCAACTACCATCACCTACACCCCTACCACCACCTACCACCACCTACCACCTACACACCTACCATCACCTACACCCCTAACACCACCTACACCCCTACCATCTACCACCACCTACACCCCTACCATCACCTAACATCACCTACACCCCTACCACCTACCATCACCTACACCCCTAACATCACCTACACCCCTACCACCTACCATCACCTACACCCCTACCATCACCTACACCCCTTCTATCACCTACACCCCTACCATCACCTACACCCCTACCGCCACGTACCACCACCTACACCCCTACCACCTACACCCCTACCACCACCTACCACCATTCTACACCCCTAACATCACCTACACCCCTACCACCTACCACCACCTACACCCCTACCACCACCTACACCCCTACCACCACCTACCATCGCCTACACCCCTAACATCACCTACAAACCTACCACCACCTACCATCACCTACACCCCTACCACCACCAACACCCCTACCATCAACTACACCCCTACCACCACCTACACCCCTACCATCAACTACACCCCTACCACCTACACCCCTACCACCTACACCCCTACCATAAACTACACCCCTACCATCACCTACACCCCTACCACCTACACCCCTACCATCACCTATACCCCTACCATCACCTACACCCATCCCCTACACCCCTACCATCTACACCTCTACCATCACCTACACCCATCACCGACACCCCTACCACCTACACCCCTACCACCTACACCGCTACCATCACCTACACCCCTACCATCACCTACACCCATCACCTACACCCCTACCATCAACTACACCCCTACCATCACCTACACACCTACCATCACCTACACCCCTACCACCTACACCCCTACTATCACCTACACCCCTAGAACCTACACCCCTACCATCACCTACACCCCTACCACCTACACCCCTACCACCTACACCCTTACCATCACCTACACCCATCACCAACACCCCTACCACCTACACCCCTACCATCACCTACACCCCTACCACCTACACCCCTACCACCTACACCCCTACCATCCCATCCACCGTGATGATGATGAGAGAGAGACGCAGATCCGCACTACACACAGACAAAGATCCCCCGTGTAGCCTCTAGCAGTACTGCAGGGGCAAGTGCTGTTAGTAGCGAGTAGCAGCAGCACCTATACACAGACAAAGATCCCCCGTGTAGCCTCTAGCAGGGCTGTAGGTGCAAGTGCTGTTAGTAGCGATTAGCAGCAGCGCCTATACACAGACAAAGATCCCCCGTGTAGCCTCTAGCAGGGCTGTAGGGGCAAGTGCTGTTAGTAGCGATTAGCAGCAGCGCCTATACACAGACAAAGATCCCCCGTGTAGCCTCTAACAGGGCTGTAGGGGCAAGTGCTGTTAGTAGCGAGTAGCAGCAGCACCTATACACAGACAAAGATCCCCCGTGTAGCCTCTAACAGGGCTGTAGGGGCAAGTGCTGTTAGTAGCGAGTAGCAGCAGCACCTATACACAGACAAAGATCCCCCGTGTAGCCTCTAACAGGGCTGTAGGGGCAAGTGTTGTTAGTAGCGAATAGCAGCAGCACCTATACACAGACAAAGATCCCCCGTGTAGCCTCTAACAGGGCTGTAGGGGCAAGTGCTGTTAGTAGCGAGTAGCAGCAGCACCTATACACAGACAAAGATCCCCCGTGTAGCCTTTAACAGGGCTGTAGGGGCAAGTGCTGTTAGTAGCGAGTAGCAGCAGCACCTATACATAGACAAAGATCCCCCGCGTAGCCTCTAACAGGGCTGTAGGGGCAAGTGCTGTTAGTAGCGAGTAGCAGCAGCACCTATACACAGACAAAGATCCCCCAGGTAGCCTCTAGCAGGACTGTACGGGCAAGTGCTGTTAGTAGCGAGTAGCAGCAGCACCTATACACAGACAAAGATCCCCCGTGTAGCCTCTAACAGGGCTGTAGGGGCAAGTGCTGTTAGTAGCAGCAGCACCTATACACAGACAAAGATCCCCCGTGTAGCCTCTAACAGGGCTGTAGGGGCAAGTGCTGTTAGTAGCGAGTAGCAGCAGCACCTATACACAGACAAATATCCCCCGTGTAGCCTCTAGCAGGGCTGTAGGGGCAAGTGCTGTTAGTAGCGAGTAGCAGCAGCACCTATACACAGACAAAGATCCCCCTTGTAGCCTCTAGCAGGGCTGTAGGGGCAAGTGCTGTTAGTAGCGAGTAGCAGCAACACCTATACACAGACAAACATCCCCCGTGTAGCCTCTAGCAGGGCTGTAGGGGCAAGTGCTGTTAGTAGCGAGTAGCAGCAGCACCTACACACAGACAAAGATCCCCCAGGTAGCCTCTAGCAGGGCTGTAGGGGCAAGTGCTGTTAGTAGCGAGTAGCAGCAGCACCTATACACAGACAAAGATCCCCCGTGTAGCCTCTAGCAGGGCTGTAGGGGCAAGTGTTGTTAGTAGCGAGTAGCAGCAGCAGCACCTATACACAGACAAAGATCCCCCGTGTAGCCTCTAGCAGGGCTGTAGGGGCAAGTGTTGTTAGTAGCGAGTAGCAGCAGCGCCTCCACCACCACAGCCGGCCACCTCTGTCACCCCCAGTGGCGATGTTTACTCCGCACTAATCCCTGCGTTTGTGTTTGTGTGTTTGTGTGTGTGTTTGTGTGTTTGTGTGTGTGTTTGTGTGTCTGTGTGTGTTTGT